CATACATACATGTACATGTCTACACATATGCTTAGATCTTTATATCTGTTTATCTGCTTATATTATCTAATAATAGAGTTTTTGGGCTTTTTGTGTATTGTGTATACCTATAGAGAGATACATATATACAATATATGTGTATACAGTATATAGTCTATATCATGTACCACAAGGATCTAAGATTATTAGGTAATCTACTTAATATTGATGGATTAATGGTGTCAGAATTAAAACCCAGAATTTCTACTTCATGCGTAGACTTTCTATAGTACACAGCTCTCAAAAACAAGACCTAGTAAATGTTGGAAACAAAACAAAATGTATCCTATTTAACAAAGCGACTGCAAGTATCAGCTACCACCTGCTAATTCAATCATGTCTTTCCAGAATTATTGAATGGTTGATGGCATTTGTTTAACAGGGATTATGTAGTGACTTGTTATACTGGGGTATTTGAGAGAAAAGTACTCTTATAGAGTTAGCCAATAGATTCTTTTTGCTTAAGAAAACTAAAATCAGATACTGACAGTACCTACCACATTTCCCCCCAATTTTAGATTTTCTTCCATTTGTATGTGATGGTTGTTCAGGAATATTTTGGTAAGTTAAATTTTTATGCAAAATTTGAAAATAATTTTGTTGTTTAGTTAGTATGGGGTTAATGTCTGAGAATTATAGTGATTTAAAAATACTTGTAACTTTAGTCTTTGATAGTTGATATTCAGTGTAGTAATCACTTTAAAAAAACTGACTAGTTATAGGCTTTGATTGTTTATACACAGATGTGATTAGTCTTTAAATTTTTTGAAATTAGATTATATATGTGAATTTTGTGTAAAATTTGTGTCTTAATTACAAGGAGAAAATAATACTCACAAAATAAAGAATATACTCTTAAAAGATCCAGCTATGATTATTACTAAGTATTTTAATTACCAAATGAAAATAATCCAACCTATAATTATATTCCTTAAAAGGGATATTTATTGCGTATTATTTGAACACATAATTTGCAAATACAGCCTGTATACCAATCAAGGCTTTGGGAAAACATACTTTATTTACCATTAAACTTCCAAATATCAATATTTGATTTGTTAGAGTACTGAAAGAAAAAATTCTTCAGAACATAATTCAGAAGATTTGTTAGAAGTAAATAAAAGTATGGCATGCTTCTGAGTCATTCAGAATTGGGGCTTCCTTTCCTTCTTATTATTTTACTTACGCCTTTAAAAAGAAATAGGAAGATCCATTTGTTTTTCCGTGCACTTTAAAGCATTCAAAGTGAAGATAACTTAGAGTGGTATATTGTTTTGACTAAAATTGAAGTTGAACATTTATGGTTGAAAACTTTTGAGAGAAGATGCGCCTTTATGTGGCATTTCAGTTTATTCTTACATGAACGTTACCAATGTAGAAAGTATAACTATCTTAAGGATATCAAACATTGAAATAGCTCAAGTGACTTAAAGTGCTTTGTTTGACTGCATTTAAATAAACACTTTTTTGAAATATTTAAGCCTTGAACACAGAAGCAAGGACTCTCATAGTTGTCCTGAGGTATGTTTATTTTCTCTTATCTGATAAAGCATATTTGTATTCATGTACTTTCTTTCAGAATTTGATTTGATTTAAGGCTAGTCAGTGTACCAGAGATTAAAATTTAGCATCCTAAACTATGTGAACAGAATTTTACTTCGTTTATATTATTTTTCTCTATTTTAAAGAAAAATTGACCTATTTGCTATTTATACATTTTTATCCTCATAGTGCTTCTGTTTAAGAAGACCACTCATAGCATTAGACAGCACATTTATAATACACATTGGAATTGGTGCTCAGATCATAGTCTCCTTCCAGTCCACTGTTCCCTTCACTGTAGTATTCATTTTCACTGGCATCTGTTCAGTAGGATTCTATGGCAGTAAATTTTCCTGTCCCAGTCAGCTTTAGATTACTAAGAACAAGCCCTTAGTCCAACAAAAATAAAATCCCTCATCCTTATTCCTAACGAATTAATAGATTAAAGGGAGTTGCAGGTAGAAACCAAAATAGCACTCTTATTGCTAATAATAAATAATGAAGTGTAATAGACCCAAATAGGTCAGCAAAGGAAATCTGGAGAAATTGTCCTAAGCCTGATACTCACATATTACTTTGAATCGCTTCCTGGTGAGGCAGAAAGAAGATTTTCATTTCTGTTCTCTCAGTTATATAAAACTAAGGCTCCATGGGCTTTAGTTAAAATCTGACCCTTTTTTTGTGATCTATCTGAGGAAAGTAAAAATGTTAGTATCATGTAGGGTTAAATGAAAGGAAATACCCATTTAGAGTCATAGTAAAATTTATTGGTATTTCTTATGCAAGTTACAAATCTGGCCCCCTTTCCTTTTTTCTTATGGTAACATTTTATTTCTATGACTATCTCTTAAATTACCAGATCTCAAGTACAAATAAATTTGCCATTATGCCATTGCAACAGATTTGGAAGAATATTTAAGTTTTTAAATCCATTAAATTAGTACTGTCATTAATATAAAGGAATTTCCTCTTGGTGTAGATTTTAAGGAACTATTTTCTTAAATTTATTCGGCACTGGAAGTCTAGTTACGTTATATTCAATAACCTGACTGATCTGGTTCTGTTTTTGTTTTTTATTTGTTTTTCCTTCAAAATAATCTTGTGATATAGTGTTTTCTGGCAATAAAATATAGTATGGGAAATAGTTTATGGTTTTGAGAACTTTGCCTCATGAGTAAATATATAATTTTAAGAGTTCTCGCTCCTGAATTGTGTTTATGTGTATGAGTGTATTGCCTGCATGTGTGTAAGTGCACCTGCATGTGTGTAAGTGCAGTGCCCGAGGAGGTCAGAAGAGGGTGTCGGATCCCCTGGATCTGAAGTTATGGACAGTTGTTAGTTGCCATGTGGATGCTGGGAATTGAACCCAGGTTCTCTGCAAGAATAGCCAGTGCTCTTAACTGCCGAGCCATCTCTGCAGCCCTGGCATACTCATGGGGGCATCTTTGTAAGGCACTGTTGCAAAGTAAAGATTAAAATTGTGTGGTTATTAAATAAATAATTAACTGGAAAAAAGAAATAAAGCAGTGGCACCTGAAGGGGGGGGTGGGGAATTGTAGATACTAAGCTGGCTGTGGTGTGCAGCTTTGTGATCCAAGTTGAAGTTGAAGGCCAGCCAGGGCATTGCATAGGTAGACCAGTCTTTAAAAAAAAGAGTAGAGAAACTGAATAGTCATTTTAATTTGGCTTAAAACATAACTATAACACATTAGGAAAGTTATGAAAATGCAGAACAATCAGAAATCAGCCTGGTAATCATTTCTCATACAAACATTCCTTATAATTTGTGTATAAGAATATACAACTTAATCTAATAAGGTTAAACCACAATGATATGAATGGTGCCTTCTAACACTGATTTGTGTAGTCATTCTGAATGGGAAATGTAATCTCATTTTCCCTTTTTATGTTTTTAGGTGACTGTAATCGGTGAGAGACTGAAGACAGATAAACACAAATCTTACTCATGCTCATTCAAGGACTGTACTGAAAAAGAGCTTATGGCAGTTATATGTCCTTATTGTGAGAAGAATTTTTGCCTAAGGTCATCACTCAGACTGTTCAAGCTTTGTGTATTTGCGTAAGTTATATGTAAATACATGAACTGATGTCATAGCTCTGTCTTTATTGTAGACACCGTCATCAGTCAGATCATGAGTGTGAAAAACTGGAGATCCCAAGGCCTCGGATGGCTGCCACACAGAAACTTGTCAGAGATATTATTGGTAAGTACTAGGAAGCTTGTGTGCCTGTTTTCCTTACTGGTATGAGTTTATTAGTCCAGTGCTCCTTACTCTTACCTTTACTTCCAGTTATGGAAGTTTTGTTAACAGCCCCAGTTGTAATAACTTGCATTTTCATGACATTCTTGTTACAGTATTTCTCACAAAACCTACCTCAACCTATCAGTGAAATTTTGGAAATTGTTAAGTATCCCACAAGGTAGTCTATTTTGCTGGGCTGCGCAGATCAGCTAGTGAACCATTATAGCTGGATATGCTGATGAGGTTGTCTTTGTGGACTGCTTTGTCTAAAGAGTAAATTCTAATAAGGTTCAGCTGTGCCAATAATATAAAGCATCAGCAAAGGCTCTAGCTGAGACTTATCTGACAGTACATTACTCAGCAGAATTCTCCTTCCATATTAAGGATAGTGTACTTTTATTTATTTATTTAATTATTTTATCCAGCTGTCCTGGAACTCACTATGTAGACCTGGCTGGCCTTGAACTCACAGAGATCCACTCGGCCTCCCGAGTGCTGAGTTTAAAGGTGTGCGCCATCACATCTGGCCCTATTTATTTTTTATCAGTGTTACAGTATTCTTTTTTTAATATTTTATTTATTATTTTTATTTTATATGTATTCATGCATTGCCTGCGTGTAGGTAAGTGCACCCAAGTTGTGCAGTGCCTGCAGAAGACAGAAGAGGCTATCAGATCCCCTAGAACTGGAGTTACAGACAGTTGTTAGCTGCCATGTGGTTGCTGGAATTCGAACCAGGGTCTTCAAGAACAGTCAGTGTTCTTAACCACTGAGCCATCTCCAGCCTGATAGCGTACTTTTATTAAAACCTTCATCTATAACTAAATCCTAAAGTGTTTTGTAAAAGCATTAGTAACTTCTTTATAGAGTAAATTGGTTAAATCAGAAAGAAGTACATGCCTAAATATTTTTGAGAGAGAAGTTACTTAAATCAACTTCAGTGGTATATTTTCCATTAGTCATGTAAATATAATACTTATATATCTGTCCTATGTGTAATTTATATATGCTGAAGGCTATAGTTAGCAAGTGCTTCATAAGAAAATTCTTAAAATTTTAATGACAAAGTGTTTATGTGTTCCCCCTTCTTTCTTAGACTCCAAGGAAGGGGGAGCAGCAAGTAAAAGACGGAAAGGTGCAAAACATAGCGAGACAGCTGCAAAGGTCGCACTGATGAAATTAAAGATGCATGCTGATGGGGATAAGTCATTGCCACAGGTGGGTCTTAGAAATTTTGAAAAAACAAGAAACATGTCAAAGATAGTTGCAGTCTCTTTTTCTCCCTCTCTTCCATCAACTAACAACTTAAACCTAATATGTCTAATTTCTAAATATTACATGATTTGTGGTCTGTATAACTACTCTATACTTTTGTTTTTTTTCTACTTTATAGAGATGGTAATGAACCATATATATCCTTGTACATTTCTCCCCACTTTGCTTCTTATTTTTAACATTTATAAGCTATATTTAAGTTATAGTCTTGTTCATTCCATAGCTACACATTATTCCATTGTGTAACTGTACCCTCCTTTCTCTATTTTTATAATTAATAAAACTCCAATTTGTTTAGTCCGTTGCTATCATAAACTGCTCTACAGTGACAATCCTTGTGTTTAGGGAGAGTTTCTCTAGGATAGAATCTTTGAAATTCCAGCACTCCTGAGGCTGAGGCAAGAAGATTAAGAGTTCAGGGTTCACTGGAGCTACATCATGAGTCCCAGATGAGCTTGGAAAAAACTCATAAAATGTATATTTACATACATACGTAATAAAACACAGTTTCATTAACATGTAGCCATATATGTTATATACTCTGATACATATGTATCTATATATGTCTATAGAATGTATGTCTAGAATGTATAGAATGAGGGCTGTAAAAAGTAAAGCAGGTTTCAGATAGATTGTGCAGCCTTCTCTGCATATGTGACTCATTGAGTAGGAAATAACCTCAGGTATGCTACTACCGCTCCCTCTCATTCTCTTTTTAATCCACATCTTAGTCCAAGAAATAGATATATGTGACTGCCGTTTTTCCATTGATAAGTACTGTTCTGTCCCCTGTTATGGCCGTTATGTTTGTTTGATTGCTTTGGTTTTTTTGAGACCTGTTCTGATATAGCCCAAGCTGACCTCAAATTCACTATGTAGCCCAGGACACTCGACTCTTGATCTTCTTGCCTCTACCCCCGAGTACTGGGATTTCAAGTAATGGAAACTATGCCCAGCTTGGCCACTGTGCTAAGTAGCCTTAATTTGGTACTTTTATTTCTATGACATAAATTCCAGGAATGTTTTTCCTATCTCAAAGGTTGTACATATTTTAATTTTTAAATTTACTTTTATGTGTATGAGTGTTATGTATGTATGTATGTATGTATGTATGTATGTATGTATGTAAGTGTACTCATGTTGTACAAAGCCTGCAGAGGCCAGAAGAAGGTGTTAAAACCCCTGGAACTGGAGTTATGGACAGTTGTTAGCCACCATGTGAGTGCTGGGAACTGAACCCTCTAGAAGAGCAGCCAGTGCTCTTAACAGCTGAGACATCTCTCCAGTCCCATAAAGGTTTATATGTTTTAGTTTTTAATAATTATTTCCAAACACCTCCATAAGGCAGTTGTTAAAATTCATATTTCTACCAACAGTAATCATATAGTATATCTTCATTGACTAATTGCACTATGCAAAGCACTTTTTTGTGATTATGGAATTTCTATCTCCTTTAGTATTCACCTTTCTGTGATATGTTATCTTTACTTCACAGATAGGTAATCTGAAGTGAAGTACTGGCTACGAATCACTCACTAAGAGCCCGTCATTGCAACCAGTTCATTGTATTCTTAGGGCCCAAGTATGAGACGCCTCCTCCAGTAGCTGTTAAAACTTTTTAGAAAAATTTATTGATTTTATTTTATGTGCATGAGTGTATTGCCTGCATGCATGTAAGTGAACCCATGTCATGCAATACCCATGGAGGTCAGAAGAGTGCCTTGGATACCCTAGAACTAGATTTATTTATGGTTGTTAGCCACTATATAGGTACTGGGAATCAAAGTTGGGTCTTCTGCAAGAGCAGCCAGTGCTCTTAACCACTGAGCCATCTCTCCAGCCCCACTTTTAAGTATTTTAACACTTTAAAAATATTTAACCCTTTAAAAATATTTTCTAGTATGGGGGCTGTAAAAAGATACCTTATAATTACTGTAATTGCATTCCCTGACTACTACTTGGTTGTAACTACTTTTAGTGTATAGTAAAAAGTAGTGTTATTTGTGGCCATTTGAAATTGCTCTTTTCTGAATTACCTAGGTGTATTAGCTGTCTTTTCATAGCTGAGAGATAGTACCTGACAACCTCAGAGAGGAGACATTTATTTTAGCTCCTCATTTCAGAGATTTCAACTTGGTGGGCTGGTTCCCTTGCTATGAGCCTGTGATAAGACAGAATCTCATGGTAACAGGAACATGTTGGCAGAGGGGCTGCTCACCTCATGTCACCTGGGCAGTGGGGGTGACATGGGGAGATAGTATGCTTCCCCTTTCTTTCCTTTCCCATCAGTCTTAGCCCCCAGCCTATGGGATGGTCACTCACATTTAGAATGAAATTTCTCCTCTTACTGCTGTGGGGATGTGCTTTACTAATCTAGGTGCCTCTCAGTCCTGTGAGGGTGACAGTTAGGATTAACCATCTCCTTATGCCTTTCCTGCTGTGGTTGTCCTTTTTGATTGTCTTTTAATCTTGTTTGGTTCAACTCAACACTTAAACTACAGTTGATATTAGTACTTTATAATCAACTTGTTTTGCAATTTTTTTCTTTCAAAATCTGTCAGATACATTGATATGACTAATGTTTGTCACTGAGATATTGGTACTATAAACGTTTCTACTGTTGGTCATTTCTTTAATTCCTATTTTGATTTTCATCAGGATTTCAAAATCTTTTGCTTTGTCTTTAATCTGTTTGGGTTGTGTTTTTGTTTTAATACATGATTTGAGCTAAGGTCTAGTTTCATTGTTTTCTTTTGGCTAGCTAGCTTTGCGTCATTGATTATTAAATAAATTGTCTTTGTTCTGTTGAATCAAAATACCAAAATATCACTTTCATAATAATGTAACATTACATACATGCAGGTCTGTTTCTAAATTTCCCACTTGATTTCACCACCACTGTATTTTTAGTAACATTTAAAAAATTTATGTGTATGAGTATATTGCCTACACGTATGTAAGTGCACTCGTGTTGTGCAGCACCCACAGAGGACAGAAGAGGGTGTTTGATCCCCCCTCCCCCCAGTTATGGATGATTGTTAGCGCAGTGTGGGTGCTGGGAACCAAAACTGGGTCCTCTGCAAGAGCAACTAGTGCTCTTAACCTCTGAATCATCTCTCCAGCCCCTAGTAACATGGCTTAATAAAAGCTATATTAGCTTTATAAAATGTTCTATATATGATAATATAAACTCCATCTATATCTTTCTTAGCAACTCTTTAGCATTCATCCATTTACATTTTATAATGATTATATCCAAAATTAAAACTTTCATGATTTTCATGATTCTGTCCCTGGGACAAGATTATGAATGACAGGCTCCAGCCGATGAAATTAATATGAAAAGCAAGAGGCAACAGAAAAGTGTCTTTTCTGTCTCCTCCATTTGCTACAGAGATATAAGTTGTAAATAATAGGAGATAAGGATGTGGGTGTTGATAGGAATGCCTTCACCACCTCATGGGAGATTTGTGTCCATTGTCCCTCTGGGGATTCTGGGGATTCTGGCCCACTTCCTGCTCTTAAGATTCTAGCTACAGGCTGGGTGTGCTGGCACACGCCTTTGATCCCAGCACTCCAGAGGCAGAGGCAGGCTGATCTCTGTAAGTTCAAGGCTAGCTGGGGCTACAGAGAGACCCTGTCTCAAAAAGACCAAAAGGAAAAAAAAGAAAAAAAAAAGATTTTAGTAACAGACACAAAGCCTCTGAGGTGCAGTGTTGTGTGGTTTCCATGAGGTTAGGTAACATAACATTCATTTTCCCAGCAGTTCCTATGAGCAAACTTGAGTCTGGAAGGCCTCACTTGGACTTTGCACCATATAGCATATATTAGTTTGGAGAAAGTTGACAGTTTTATATTGTCTTCCTGTCTAAACCCTGAGATGGTTTTTCACTTATTCAAATCGTTTTATTTCCTTCTCTAGCATTTTATGTTTCTCTTCATTTAAGTCTTATTTTCATCACTATTTTTCTCTTCCACTGTAAATATTTTATAAAATTTTATTTTTATTTTATGTGTATGAGTGTTTTCCCTTCATGTATGTAAATGCACTCATGTCATTCAATGCCCACAGATGTCAGAATAGGGTGTCAGATCCCCTGGAACTAGAGCTATAGATGGTTAGCTGCCATGTGGGTGCTAGGAATTGAACCCATGTCCAGGGGAAGAACAACAAATGTTCTTAACACCGAGCCATCTCTCCAACCTTGTAAATAGAATATTAACTTTCATGTCTGTTTGTAAATATTTATGCTAATATGAAGAGGAAAAAAGTCTTGGTATTTTTCTACATCTTATTCAGCCACTTCAGAAACCAATTCTTTTTATTAACTTTAGAA